CAGCTGTTGGACAAGTTCTTGGACCGAAAGCTGTCCTGGTATGTCGGGGAAGGTAACTTTGGTAAGTTCAAAGATGAGGGCGCCGAAGACCGTGAGGAAGGGTGCTGCCCACGTGCGAAAGAAAGAAATGTTGGGTCTTGCTTTCTGCCAATCCTTGGTCGGCTTTGGAAGGATGCGAGCTGTAGGCAACGGTGCTTGAAGTCGAAGTCCCCACGCATAGCGCTGAAGTAGGAGGGAAGGTATCGTAGTGACCACTTCAGAGCGAAAGGATGCTGCAGATTCCCGACACAGTGAAAAAAAGACTTCTCCCGAGCAAAAGGTCTTGTGCATCAGTATGGCGAACAACGAAGGGCAAATCACATGTGCACGAGAGGGGAAATGATCCGCGGGAAGAGAAGCCACGGTTCGTTGTAGTGATGTCGATGACCAATAAGCACGATCTTGAAGGTTGGATCGATGGGTTTCAATCAATTGAGTCAAAACAGGCCGTAGATCAGTAAGAAGACTGGAGCCATGTACATGCCACCGACGAGCTAGTTTGCGAAGCTGTGTGGTAAAACGCTGATGCAACAAGTCAACATCGCCGAAATACTGATCCTTCATAGACGCGGCCATGATATCCATGTCGATGTCCGGTAGTTGTAGATCCTGTCTCCCAAAGTGGCGCTGCGAGTTTCCACCACCCGGATCTTTGGAAGAAATAGGGAGGGAAACAAGTCACGATGAGAAGCGACCTAACTTTGTAACCACGTGCCAAGTTGAGCTTTCCAATGCCGTACATGTAGAGGCGGTAGAAGTAGTTGTGTCAAAGTGCTGGGTGATTGGAGCTGTCGTTTGCGCAACACCTGGGCGAGGAGTTTCTGTGCCTTGGAGCGAAAGGGCTCGTTGACAAAGACGGAGAGTCGCAGGAAGTAGTAGAGCTGAGTGGGAGGAAAAGCCGCCGACAGTAGGTCTCGCATGGCTTGGAACGATGCGCCTGTGTTGGATCCCAGCTGATGTGGAGTAATGCGCTTGAATGTCATCCAACATTTCAGGTCGTAATTGCCGTTGAAGATCCGGATGTAGTCGTCGTCGAAAACGTTTGTGTAGACCGAGCGAGGTGGGGGACGACAACGAATGACGTCGAAAGTCGACGAGATGCTCCCGGAAGCCCGCCTTGCGAAGAAGTCTATGTAGCCAGGGTGCATTCAATTGCGGACGTAGCAGGTATTGCCACTTGCTTTCCTGGACCCAAACCGAGGAAATGGGAAGTTTGATCTCAACCGGAATGGCACAGAAAAGCCAGTAAGTGTTGGAGCGCTTCCAGTAGTGAAGCGCAGGTTCGAAGAAGGCATGGCGTCCCCGAAGTAGTTGTAGAAATTTGTGAGTGCGTGAGTGTTCACGTCGTAGAACGTCCTGATCAGTCGCACCAACGTAGTATGGCGTGTGCCATGGAGAAAGTCGGATGTAAACGCATGGTTGTTGATGATGACCTGGATCGTGAATGAGGTCATAGAGGTCCGGAAACCGTGTCCGTAATGAGCGAAGGTGTCTCGTGTCTGCAAAAGTGGAATGCATAATTTCGCACAAAAGAGATGTCTTGTAGAAGTGAAGAACTTCGAAGAACGGTGGAACGTATCCATGATCTTGAGAAATGAGACGCTGCAAGAAACTGATCAATAAATAGGCCGTGCACCGGCACCTGTGAAGTTCATACCTGTTGGCCACAGTGTGGTGAGATTGCGACATGGCGTGAGTCGGAATCTGAAGTGCAATCCGGACCACAACTAATACTTCCAGAATAAGGCCCAACCGAGGTAGTTGTGCAACTGACTCGTATTCATCTGCTGGTATCGACGGTGGTGGTAGTCCAGGAAAGCAGTATTGCCAGCACGTAGAGAACATTGTCAACGAGTGTAGAAAGGTGTCCAGAGAATGCCATTGTGCAACATCATCATAGATTCCACAGCGGCGAAGCTCAGCCAACATGGTGAACATGCAACCAATGAAATCTACAGTGTGGCGGCGTCATGAATACAAGCGGCAATGAATATCACGCACAAGACAACGCAAGCACAGACAAGCGCATGATCAAACAAATGCAAAGCAAGAAGATGGCGGACGAGTTTTGAACCTTTCCTCAACCGTGGCACGGCTGCCGCTCCGGGCTCATAAGTGAACGAAGTTCGTCAAGAGGGACTGCTCATCCACTGAGTAAGCGGGCGGTCACGATGAGGTGACTCAGCGCCTTGTCAGTGAGCTTGGTGAGGTAGCCGGGCTCCAGTCCCCACAAAGCCGCCATCGCCCCAAGCGTAGGTGCGTCGCCTTTTGGCATGCGTTGACGCGCCTGAAGGAGTTGCGTCGCCATGGAATCCAAGGACTTGTTGCCGTTGAGACGGGACGGGTGATTGGCCCACTTGACCAATGATGCCAAAGTGGTGGTTGTGGGCGATTGCTTGAGATACAAGCGTGGCTGATCACTGGTCCATGTGTAGTACTTGATGACGTCATCTGGCGTGCTGTGCGTGGTGAGCAATTGTGACGCCGCCGGCTTGGAAGGCGGTGAAGAAACTCCGTGAAGAGACTGAATGATCCGGGGTTGCACCGCGCCATCAAACGACTTGCCATCAAGGGCCGCTGCGCTGGCCGTAGGGAGGGAGCTGGTGGGTGACGAGGATTGTGTGTGATTGAACGGTGGTGGTGTAACCAACTCCGCATCATCCTTCTGGCTTGGCACCGTGGGGGAAGTCGAAGCGCGCAACGATGCTGAATACTGAGCCTGGAGCAACTCATTAGCACGATTTAGATCATTGTACTTCTTGACCATGTCATCCGTCTGGGTAGAAGGCGTGAGAGTTGCGTGGTGTTGCTGAAGAAACTGAAGTACCAAGTTGGCCAAATGGTCATGAACCTTGATCCGCTGATTGAAGTCGTCGAGGTTGAGCCCCAGCGAATTGGCAAGGTCCTTTTCCAAGGTGAGCAGGTTGATCGACTGTGATCGCCGTAGTAGTTTGGAACAGGTACTCCAAAGTAAGGCTTCGGTGCGAGTGCGAAAGCCTTCCCACGTCACGAATCTGCCGTGAGCAAACGGTCGGAGCAGCCAGTTGGTGAGGCCCCCATGAATAACCTGAACCAGGCGAACGTCACGAATGTCCATGCCGGACATGTCACGTAGGTTGCTGTGCGGGGTGCTGGCAACCGTCATGGGCAGGCTGAAGTTATAGAGCTGATTGACATCTAACATGCCATCTCCAGGCGTCCAGTCAGCCGATGGTGTAAGCCAGGCTTTCTGAGAACGAACCGGCAGGGCTGCAGGGTATCCAGGTGATGGCGTAGGTTGCGAGGGAGTGACCGGCGGCGGCATCACGGGCGTCATGAACTTCGTTGGCGTGGGCTCTGGAGGAATCGGCATCATGTAGTTGATCGGTGAATGATGGAACTGCTGCGCGGGGTTCGGAATCGATTGATAATTGGTCGGCATCATCGGGAAATTGTTGGCGGAGTTGTAGCCGGAATTGTGTTGCCAAGATACCAGGTTGTTCCAATCCATGCCCTCCGAGACCTGTTGGTCATTGTGTTCACGTCGGTGTGCTTTACGAGCTTGAGGAGAAGGACTCCGATCACGTCTGCGCCGAGTCCTGGATCTGTCACGATCATCACGTCGAGACATGGTGGCGCAACCAACTCACAACCTTCACACTTCAACCTTGAGAGAAACGAATCCGACAAAATGCAAGTCAATGCAAATTCAAGTCAACGGCCACCAGCTGCAATGGTGAGAGAAACGAATCCGACAAAATGCACGTCAATGCAAGTTCAAGTCAGCGTCCATCAGCAGCAATGGTGAGAGAAACGAATCCGACAAATGCAAGTCAGTGCAAGTTCAAGTCAGCATCCATCAACCGCTGTGATGAGAGCAACGAATCCAACAAATTGCAAGCCAATGCAATTCAAGTCAGCAGCCGTCAGCAGCCGTGGTGAGACGTCTCTATGATCTGACCGCTGTCTTCCCTTTAGTGAAACCTCGTTCCTGGTTAAATGTGAAATTCCGCTGTTCTATGATAAGCACGTTGAGGTCAAATTTTCCGACAGAGCCGGCCCGGGGTCACACAATGGGTACACCCGAGGATTCCCCACGAATGGGGTGTACACACTTAAACTCCAGATGGAGAGTGCTAATCTTTCGAGTACAACTGATGAGTCTCGAGTACAACTGATGAGTCTCGGCTGAGTTCTGCTTGCAAGTCACTCGGCTTCTCTCTAGAGGCGAAAACGTTACCCGAAAGAACAAGAAGCACAAACAGCGCCGCAACCAAGGGGGCCAAAAGGACAGCAACATCACTTTACACATGCAGGTACGCTGGGATGATCAGTCCCAGTATCACCACCGATGGCAAGTGTCTTCGTTGGCAGGAGACTTGCCATGGTGCTCCTGCCCCCTGCTGCACATGGTGGTGACAGGGCATTCTGTCACTCCGCACACACACACACAAACACACACAAACACACACAGACACACACACAGAGACACACACACACACAGAGACACACACACACACACACACAAACGCACAAAAACATCCACACACCCACACACCCACACACCCACACACACCCACACGCCCACACACACCCGCACACCCACACACACCCACACACCGGCAGACACACACATACACACAGGCACCATACGCCGTATTACGCCGTTAGCAGGACATGCAGCTTCACATGAGGCTTCTTGCTCTGATCAATATCCCACGCTGAATTTCTGACTTGAGAAGCATGTACTGTCCTGAACATTTGATTTGCTGGCTTCAACCATCTTCGCTGCCTGAGTTTTCACCAACATGGTCCAAGTATATGTGCCTCTGGTCATGACTCCCTGAAAAGGGATCTTTATAAGCGCTGCATAAAACCCCAATAAAGGCAGTGTGGGTTGCCCAAGCTTTTCGGAGAATGGGGTCTTGTTTACAGCTCGTTTGTTGGAACCACAATCGCACGTAAAGTAACGACCGTGCCGCCTGACATTGCGCGGCATGCTCTCTTTGGCCGGCAAAAGTTTGGCAATACTAAGGCACCATGTTTGAAGTTGACAAAATGTTCCTTGCGTCCTCGTCACTTGCATTGCTGCTCGAAGGTATTCTTTGCAGGCAGAAGCTTGCTTGAGACGCCTGACAATGTACCGCTTCAAGGGGTCTGGGCAGCCCTCATTGCATGTGGCCCATCACCTGCTTGGAGCCAAAGGCGAATTCAACAAATCTGCATGGCAATACCGTTCAAGTGATGGCCGTTCGAAAGTGTCTTGCTGGTCAACAGCGAAGCGGCTAGTGCCAATGGATAGTACATGCAACAAGTGAAGAGATCATGCACCAAATTGCTGAAGTGCTTGCAAAGATCACCATCCGAAACCAGAATCAGCTTCATTCTTTGCCATCGAATGCTCCCATGATTGAAATCATCTCCACTGTTTGAGACACTGTCTTCTGCTTTGCAGGTCAAAATTAACTCCGTCTCTGGGCACCAAACTCTGTTCCTGCGCAGGGCAAATCACCATGGTCGCTGCCGCTTAGGGCGCAGGGCTCTCGGCGTTCTTTGGCCAAGGTCTCAGTCAGCGGGCTTGCTGAAGAACCGACCTGTGACCAAGAAAGGGTGTTCCCAAGGTGCGCGGCATCCAAGGCCTGTCCGGGCCTTACTGCCAAAACATCTAAGAATAGTTTGGCACCTCCGAACCAAGAAAATGAACCAACAAGCAAGCAGCAAAGCCGCCAAGTGAGACCTGACGGGCTCAATCTGCAAGCATCCTACACAGGTTTCACGTGCGATAGAGCTGTTGGACTGGTGTGCTGGTTGTTGACTTGACGTTTGTGGGTGAAACTTGCAGCCTCTCACGCGGCCGCGAAGGCAGGAGCAGAGCCTAATGTCCGCTCTCTCATGACTGAATCATTCCGAGGCGCGGGTCTGTGACAAACTCAGAGAGCTGCTATAAATGGTTGCTTTCATCGTGTTTCTTTTCCTTGAAGAGTCTCCTCTTGATGCATCCCCAAGTTGGCGGCACAATGCCTACTTGCTTTGCCCTCGCACGTTCCCATCTGAGTCGAGCACCTTCTGCTTTTGCCTTGCCCAAGGCTGCCAGCTTCTTTTTCTTGCTGGCGCCTGAGAGAGGCTGGCAAGCAATGAACGGATTTTGACTTCTTGGGCAGGGCATAACACATGCGCCGCGAATCACGCCGCTCCTTCGTTATTCACTTTGAGTGGTGTGCAGCAAGATGAGGCATGCTTTAGGGCGTCACATCCGGGTGACAGAGATGGTTCCTCAAGTGGCTGAGCCCAGCACCATGGTGGACCGTGTGGATCTGGTTGAAATCCTGCTTGCCTTGTGAAAGTCATCTCTCTCGCAGCATTTGTGCACCAATGGCTGCTCGACAATCAACGCTGAAAGCCATGCCAAAAGGCTTCAGCAGGTGCCTCGAAAGAAAACAAAATGCATGTGAACGGCCTAGGTGGAACTTGCCCACGGTCTTGCCCATCTGTGTCGTCTTCACATTCTTCACCTAGCAGGCCGCCAAGTCTTTCTGTTGGCACATTGAGTCCGACCAACAAACTATTCATTCCCAGGAGGTATTGCAAGACGGAGGTATTGTGAGACGGTTGTCAATGCCATCCTTGCTCCACCTACGAGTATTCTTCAAAGACAAAACCTCAACTGAATGCAAAGCAAACACCCAGCGACTTCGGGGGCAGGATGAAAATGGCCCTGGTAGCGGAAACACCAGATTCTGCGCAACATGCCCAACTCACCTTCACTCCAAACCAGACTGATGAACCGATGGGCACCGGCGCGCCCACCTTCTTGGGCTTGGCCGCTTTCGGCAGCTTGATGGCCTGCTTCCACCTGTCCTTGTCGGGATCCCTGGCCATGCGCCGGCCGGCCATCGGCTCGCGGGTCCAAAACCGGACGCCCATTGCTTGTCTTGTGCTAAAAACTCCAACCGGTGACCATGGCGTGAACATTTGAAGAAAGGACAAACATGAAGTCATTTCATGTCCATACACAGAAAAGGCTGGCCAACCCGAGGTGTCCACTCTCTCAGAGCTAGGAAAGCAAGAGCTGTGTCAGCAGTAGGTCTGATGTGCGCCCTCCCATCGCTGACAACTTGTGCAAAACAAGATCATCCTTTTGAATACAAATCACCTTCTAGGTTGACCAGTCTGTACAGGGCTACAACATCCGGTCCAAGAATAGTGAGCCAAGTAAAGTCTAGGCGCCCTCAATTTGGTTTGTCATGGACAAAATGATCAATCCGAGACATCACACTGACATTAACAGTTCACCACATCAATGGGCAATGACATGTCAAGCATCTAGCATCTCTTCAAGGTCTGCTGATCGAAAATCAGCTTTAAACTGGATCCTTGGACATCCAGGCCTCAGGCTTCATTAAAGCCTTGGAAAGACCGACTCAAATTAAGTTGGCGCTTGGCCAAATTTTGGGTCGCCTCCCAGAACAACTTCTACAATGGTTCAAGCCGCAAAAGGGTGACTGCTAGTGATTGGGAGGGAACAACGCAACCCTCGTCCACCATCTGTCAGCATTGCATGCGACATGGGCCGCGCCTAGTGCGATCCAGAGACAAGGCCATTGAAGGCCCCAGCTCGTCCAACTCCACCCGGGGCAAACTGAGCACAGTTGATAGGCTGGGGACACAATGGTTCGAACACAAGGAAAGAAGGAAGGAAGGAAGGAAGTGAATACGAGGCAAGAACTGTGAGGCGGTCTACGCTCCTCAGCTATGAAATGTTGGGAACACGAGGCAACAAGGCAACGCAATGCAGTATATCAGGCAACACAGGCACAATACAAGCTAACACAAACTAATGCAGCTTGATGTAGCCTAATGTGACAGGGCATGCCACAAGGTGACAAATGCAATTCCGTACGCCGATCAGAGGTAAGCAAGCAATCGAATGGCCCGTGCTGGGATTCGCGCGTAGAGCCGGATTTCTGCATCCTGATGCGGTATCTTCTGAAGAGCACCTGCTGCACGGACTTGGTTTCAAAAGAAGCCAGCAAAGAACCATGCTGTTGGTAATTATGTGTTGATGAGGGCCATCTGTGTTCATAACATGTTCATAACCTCCACTCCAGGCCAACTGCCAACTCAAACAGAAAGCCAACAAGCGCAGTTGATTGGGTTTCGTAGTGCGCTGAGCAGTTACAAAAGCACCCGCCCCCGCACTAAGACGCTCAACTGGTCTGTCCTTGAAATCGAGCCCTGCCCACGCTGAGCTCAATTTGATTCGTGGCTGTGCTGATGCCAGCTCAACTCATAGACCAGGGTTCTGTGAATCTCGGTCAATTGCATGCTCCTGGCAACATGCTGGCGCATGTTTCAACCCCCTTGCCCGGCCTTGTGCTTGCCTTCGCCTGCGCACACAGTATAGTGTTTCAAACTGCTGAACTGCAAGAAAAGCTGGCTTCAGGGAGACGAGCAAGCAAACTCTCAACTTACTTGTGGCTACCTTGCCACAACACGTCATCTGAACTTGCTGAAACCACCTATGCGAAAAGCAGCTCTTCCCTTGAAGGCCGCGGATGGGGCAATGCAACTGTGCTTTGAAGAACATCAAGGTAACGTTCAAGGTTTGATCACAGGCAAAACAGTGCCACACTAACTTGCTTAAAGGACTTGACACTAAATGCTAGCCGTGTGGAACCTTGACTAACAATGGACCAAGGCTGGAAAAGCTAAAGGTCCACACGCCGGCTTTGGGAAAGTGAACGAGCATGTCGGCATGGTTGCATCACTTGATGTGACTTGGCAGGACATGGCGGTTATTTTCAGCTCAAAGGGCTTGGAAGGACATCTTATGCACATCGCAGCTCATTCGCTGAATTAGGCGGAAGGAGCCGTACAGGGGTCTCAAGCACCGCAAGTGTTTCCAGCACGTTGCATTGAATAGATTCGTGTTTTGCTTCAAGTGCCTTCACATCTGAGGTGTGTGTGTGTGTGTCAAAACGGACAGACAAACAAACAAAGAAACAAAGACACAATTCAACAACGAAAAAAAAAACACAAGCAAGCAAGCAAGCAGGCAAGCAAGCGAGCAAGCAAGCAAGCAAGCAAGCAAGAAAGCAAGCGAACAAACAAGCAAGCAAGCAAGCAAGCGAACAAATAAGCAAGCAAGCAAGCAAGCAAGCAAGCAAGCAAGCAAGCAAGCAAGCAAGCAAGCAAGAAAGCAAGCAAGAAAGAAAGCAAAAGCAAGAAAGCAAGAAAGCAAGAAAACAAGAAAGCAAGAAAGCAAGAAAGCAAGCAAGCGAACAAGCGAACAAGCGAACAAGAAAGAAAGCAAAGCAAAGCACAACAAAACAGAACAAAACAAAACAAGGAAAACAACCACAACAACCAAACAAACAAACAAACAAACAAACAAACAACCAACCAACCAACCAACCAAACAAACAAACAAACAAACACACAAACAAACAAACACACAAACAAACAAACACACAAACAAACAAAAACAGACAGACAGACAGACAGACAGACAGACAGACAGACAGACAGACAGACAGACAGACAGACAGACAGACAGACAGACAGACAGACAGACAGACAGACAGACAGACAGAGAGACAGACAGACAAACAAACAAACAAACAAACACCTGACTCCATATCAAGCTTGCCAAGTCAATGATGTCTACAGTCTAAAGCTGATGGCTGTGCGCTGCAGAGCTGTGCTTAAATGGCCCACCTGTTTCTTTTAGTCTACAATCTGGTGCAATGGCATTTGAAACTTTCACTCGTTGGATGACAGCTTGGCACTTTGCGTTGCCCGTGGCCCTGGTGGATGAAAAGACTCGCTGAGGGGCACCAAAGATGGTGCAATTCGCACGGCTACGACTACGGAAAGCTAACTGGCAGAGCCGATCTGGCACCTTCCTTGCTTCTTAGCTTGACCAGTGGACCCCAATCGGATTAGCTGAGTCAATCTTTGTGGCCCTGCGGCTGAGCAGTGGGTGGCCAGTCAGCTCAGCCGCGTGTTCGTGGGTGTCACTGACGTCGGAAGCGGCGTGTACTGCGGGGACCCCGCTGGGGTGGCCTTGGTGCCAAGTCAGCTACCTAAATTGCAGGGAATTGGTATTTCCCACAAAGGACCTCCAAACTTATTTTCCCACGCAGCGCCAGTCAAAAAGGCCTCATCGATTTCGGCGACCAGTTGTTTCCCCCGCCGCTTTCAGGAATCACCCACCATCTGGCATACAAAAGAACCATTCCATTCCTCCTTGGCCAGCGCCAGAACAAGTTCAAGTGTCAATGATTATGAGCAGCAAAAGCCCGCTCCAAAGGGCCACTTGGCATCCAGTTCCCCATGGATATCGCTTGGGCTGCCAAAATAAAAGGTTGTTGTTCCAAGCCGCTGCTGGCCCTGTAGGAGGGTCGTGCAAACCCTCTTCGAGATCCTGAGCGCCATCTGCCCCGAATCAATCTCAGAATCTTGCTGCAAATAGGATACCTGCAAGGCAGCCTGCGCCCGACTCTTTCAACACACGCAATTCTCACACAATGTCCACACCTGGTCACACAACGTCAAACACGCACGAGCACTCGCAATACACACGCAGACAAACAGCCCGAGACGCACGCACAGAGGCACAAAACCAGGCAAGCACAGACAGACACACAGAGATACAGAGGCACGCAGACACAAAGGACAGAAATACGGAGGCACGGAGGACAGAGGCACAAACACATGTGCGTAGAGGCAGAGACACACACGCGCACACACACACACACACCACACACACACACACTGGAGTTTGTTGGTGCGAAATGGCAAGATCTGAAGGTCGTTGATGCTCTTGGCCTTACCTGGGTGTTCACCGGAAATGTCAGTAAAAGGTTATTCGTCCAAGGAGTTTCGGCGGAACTGGTCTTGTTTCAGTTTCCCACGGATTGGCCTCGTCGGGCGCCCGCCCTTCCAATCCAGGGAAACGAGAAACGGGCAAACGACTCCCTGGCCGAGGAGTGGCTGCCAAAGCATTTCCCGGCGGGCGCGACTCCAGCATGTTACACACACACACAGGTCCGCCCCAGAGGGCGGCCTTGCGATCGCTTTTGTTCAATCTGCCCTTTCAAGACACTCCGATTTTGCGAAAAGGAAACAGGTTTTGCAATACCAAATGGGAGGGGAATTTCAGGGGACAAAACTCAACCGGTGGACCGACTCGCAAACTCCAACAGGTCGGACGTGGTCTATTGCACGACTCTGTTGGGCGGACCACCCCAGAACTTCGTTGTTTTTCAAGGGTTGGGGCCGTCTTTTAGTTAGTTGTGACAACTATGTGATTGAGCAGGAACACTTCAGACCTGTCGGCGGCAGTGTTGTTGCCCTTATCACATTTCCAGAACGTGAGTCTTCCACGCGTCGTGAAACTTCTTGGCGAGCTGAACTACATCTGACAGAAACGGGATCACTCGTGACTTGTGCAAAGCAATCAAACCCTGCACTTGGCAAATTTGCAGGTTCCGTGGCCGTGTGAGTCGCAGAATCAAGAACGAAGACCTTGGCCACTGTCACTGTACCCTGCAGCAAGTCCATGTTCATTCCAACTTTGAGGTCCCGCTGCCTTGCTCATGGCCCCAAATTGGTGCGCTCGAGAGTCATAGCCAGGGAAAGCCATCATACGAAAAGTACAAAACCAAACTACCTGCCTTGAATCCGAACTCGGCGAGGGAAACGCTTTGTGTCCACTTTGGTCAATCAGAAAAAGAACATCGCAAGCTCAGCAAGGCTCTGAAATATAGGAAATTGGCATTCCCTCTGTTGCGCAAACTCATCCGCGCAAACGTTGCGAACACTAAAAAAACGGACACACACACACACACCCTCACACACACACACACACGCACACGCACACCCACACCCGCACCCACACACACGCAAATGCTTGCACGCAAACGAGCGACACAAACAGGAAAACGCCCGTGCCAGCGTTTGCACAGTGGGCCTTCTGGTGGGTGGATGCATCCCGGGACCTTAAACTTACCAAAGAAACGGGAAACACGAAAAACACGAAAAACATGAAAAACATGGGTCCGGCCCGCCAGCCATCGCGGCGCTTGAGGTTGCGGCCCTGCCTGGATTGATCTCACATCTGGATTCAACTTGCGGCAACGCCACTTCTGTTGGCGTTCTCCAGCCTATTTCGGCATATGCCACTGTTAGTGCTTCTCGCACCGTCTTCATAACTGCGTCCCTTCAGGGGACGTTGGCTACGGCAACGCCACTATCGGGGTGCCGAATGGCCCCGACCTTCTTCGCGGATGCGCCGGTCCGCACTTCAGAATCCGCGAACGGATCCGCCGGTGTCGTCACAACTGACGTGCGCCCGCTCCCTTGAGGGAGACACACTGGAGTTTGTTGGTGCGAAGTGGCAAGATCTGAAGGTCGTTGATGCTCTTGGCCCTACCTGGGTGTTCACAGGAAATGTCAGTAAAAGGTTGAGGTCGTAGACTGATCCTTAACGACGTCGCTGTTTAAAATGGGATTTGTCCAAGGAATTTCCGCGGAACTGCGGATTGGCCTCGTCGGGCGCCCGCCCTTCCAATCCAGGGAAACGAGAAACGGGCAAACGACTCCCTGACCGAGGAGTGGCTGCCACAGCATTTCCCGGTGGGCGCGACTCCTCAAATCATAGGAACAGGCATGATTGAATCTAGCATGTTACACACACAACACACACACACGCGCGCACGGACCACGTGGCAGACAAAGACACACATAGACAGACAGAAACGCACAGAAACACACAAAGATTCACACCTAAATACAGAGAGACAGAGACTCGCCTATCATTGCTTCCGAGTCTCCACAGCCAGCTTCTTGAAGTGTCGGATGTCGTCCAAGGTATCGCCCCAGGCGTTATTGTAGAATTCGGCCACAATGCCTGGGGGTTGCAAACCCCACTCTCGTCAAGGTCCGCAATGCGAGGGAGTGACAGAGTAATTGCCACAATCCCCAGACATCTTGAACTGTTGCATCAAATGACTGACAGGCCCTCTCGCAATCCCGAACACATACAGGCCGGCTACAAGTCACTGCTGTTTACTTAAACCTGCAACCGTAAAAAGTTGAAGTTGCAGCTTGGAAGGCATTCCTTGAACAAGCCCCATCATTTTGGCCCCGAGCAGAACGCCCAACCATGTGACAATTGGATTTAGGCCCTGTGCCTGAACCAGCCACACAGCTGTGTTTTTCTCGTATAGTGAGAATATCCGTTGTGATATGTAAAACATTGACAACAATAGCAGCAGCAGCAGCAGCAGCAGCAGCAGCAGCAGCAGCAGCAGCAGCAGCAGTTGTTGTTGCTGTTGTTCTTGTTGTTCTTGTTGTTGTTTCTACTGCTGCAGCTACTGCTGCTGATGCTGCTGATGTTTTGTTGTTGCTGTTGCTGTTGCTGTTGCTGTTGCTGTTGCTGTTGCTGTTGCTGTTGCTGTTGCTGTTGCTGTTGCTGTTGCTGTTGCTGTTGCTGTTGTTGTTGTTGTTGTTGTTGTTGTTGTTGCTGTTGCTGTTGCTGTTGCTGTTGCTGTTGCTGTTGCTGTTGCTGTTGTTGTTCTTGTTGTTGTTGTTGTTGTTGTGGTCGTCGTCGTCGTCGTTGTTGTTGTGGTCGTCGTCGTCGTCGTCGTCGTGGTCGTGGTCGTGGTCGTGGTCGTGGTCGTCGTCATGGCGGTGGTAGTAGGCGTGGTGGTAGTAGTCGTGGTGGTAGTAGTCGTGGTGGTAGTAGTAGTACTACTACTACTAGTAGAAATGACACCAACAGTAATAATAATAATAATCATCATCATCGATATCTTGACGCCATCGTCATCATCACCGTCATGGTGATCGTCATTCTCGTCATCGTCGTCGTGCTTATGTTTTGCATCGTTATCACTATTCTTGTCGTTGGCATCTCTATGAATGTCGCGACTTGTTTTATTAACATCATCACTACTACTATCATTGTCATCAATGTTGGTGTGTTTGTTGCTCCTCTCATCTTGGACATTGTCATTATAGCAAGCAGGGTCCTTACCTACAAGCAAACTCTCCCTCATTTCACGCGCGCCCAACAGCATTTATCAATCCACTTACCAAAACCCATATAATAATTAATTAAATGTTTCAAGTTATTCATTTTTCAAGAAAAACTTAAACCATTTCAATCATCCTCAACCTCATTCTTTTTTAAATTATCAATATGCTTCTTTGTTTTTTCATGCCTCGCCTTGTGTTTCAATCTAACTTCGCAATCACAAACAGAGCACACAAATATTTTCATGCCATAGTCTTTATTTATTTATCGTATCTCTTCCTTATGATTATCTCTCCATGTCTGTGAGTATTTTTCATTTTTCTCTACACAAATCACAAGTTCTATGATTTTCTGAAAACAACTCAATCTTTCTATGAACTTTACAATGCGAACAGTATTGTTTTTCTCCTTCTTCTATTTCTTTCTGTTGCTTCGCCTCTGCTTTTTTCAATTTTCTTATTTCTGACTTTTTCTTTTTCAATTCACGACACCTCTGACAAGTTTTGAAACTTCCTGAAAATAAATCACTTGCCTTATAACATCCACAACACGAGCAATATGTCCTTTCCATAATCTCTTACAATAATAAGCAATCTACCCTTTAAATAGTTTTAGACACAAATAATATTTTTGCTCTGGGGTAAGACCCTCATAGAAAAAACCCACCAAACAACAAACCAAACAAGAAACCAAACAAGGAACATAACAAAGTCCAAAATATCAACATGTTTAAGATAATAACAAATTATCTTAACAATGCTGTTATTTAAACATCTTCTTTAATGATGAGTCTGAAACCAAATGATTGTATGCCAAAAACAGTAAAAACACTGGTGCAAATTTTGAATGCCGTTCTTCAAATGTTTGACTGCTTCACTCAACACTTTGTTAATATTGTTTTCATTTATGTTTATGTAATTATCTTCATTCATTTCATAAGGACAGAAACTTATGCTTAAACTTGAAAACATGCCTTCTTTATATTCTCGCTCACTATGCCTTACTCTTATGTCTAAAAACACATCTAATTTGACTTGAAAATCAGTATTATCTTCTACGTCTTCATAGATTAAACTTAATAACTCATCTTTTTGCTTGTTGATAATACTTTCAATGCTGTCCATTCCAAATGGCACTCTTCTTTCAATATCATATTCCCTTTTAACTTGTTTCTGTGTTCCTCCATTTATTAGTTTTAGGTATTTGTACATTGTTTGTGGTTCAGTTGTTTTAATTTTGTAATTGGTCTGTATTCTCTTCAATGCTTCGTTATGACAACTTTTTATCTTTATATACTCAGGTTTGCCAAATTTAAAGGAATTAATATTGCTCAATATTTCAACAGGTAATTTATTAATTTCCATTCTCACTAATATATATAGGTATTATTTCTTTAAACCTTTTTAGTCTAAAACTATATTTTTAACATCTCATGCCTCAACAAAGATTTACTAAAATCACTAACAGAATAGTATTTTTGTCCTGATTTAGTTTCTATTATAGTTATTGTATGAGTTGTTTTAGTCCAGTGTGAGGTTTGTTGCTTTTCAGCTATTCCTTTTTTCCTTCTGATTTTAACTTTGTCTCCAACATCTAAATCTGGATATGTGCGGGAATGTCTTGCTTTCATTGATATATTTAGTTTTACTTCAAACTCATTCTTTTTTAGTTTTGCTTGTGCTGGTGTAAAACCGGTGCTTGTGTGCTTCAATTTATTATTGTATGTTAATAAAATTTCAAAAATGTAGTCTCGCCAATCAATATCTTGTTTGCCTTTCTTTTCATCTGCTTCAACTCTGTTATACAGCATTCTGTTGAACGTTTTAATTGCTACTTCACTGAACGCTGCGTGGTTTCTTGTTGTGTAGTGTTCTATACCTTTTCTCTTTTAGATAATCTTGTATAGATTTTGTATTTAATGCGCTTTCATCATCTGTAAATAATAATTTACAAAGTTCGCCCATCTTTTTAAATCCTTCAACCAGTGCCATTGCTACATCACCTTCACTTTTGCTTTGAATAGGTATTACAGTCATTGCCTTACTGAAAATATCTATCATTAAAGCACCAACCTTCATTTTCTGATTAGGACTATCATTGATAAAGAATAAATCAAATTGGAATTCGTGAAATGCATTTGGCGGTATATATGATTTCTGCCCTCTTGGTTTTGTTTTGATTTCTATATTTTTATTGAAAAAATCGTCTATATCAGCCTTGGTTATTGACTTATCTTTTTCTCTACTTTCTTGAAGTGTGCGCTGTTTAGACCCATAACCGCTTTTATCATAATAAATATCACTAATTATTTTTTGTTTATCCATATAATATATTAAGATTTATTATATTGATAATATTATTTGTAATTTAAATTCACAATAATGAGTTATTTGATGATTATTAAATTGTGTATATATCTCACGTCTTTCATACATAATTTTAATAATAGTATTGATATCTCTCACGGTATTTTTCACATTAAACTTTGTGCTTTCAATATATGATTTAATGTCTCCTTTTCAATCAGACCCGTCTCTCCTACGATGCAACAACATCCATAATATGTGGTTAATCATTTCATACTTTTTCTTACTGATTTTGAGAAATATTCTAACATAACTATAAGGTGGTCTTTCATACACAGTTACAAATATTATAATGTCATCTTCAACATTTGTTTTAAGAAACCTTTTATGGTTCAAATGACATTTGATTAATTCTTGATAAAACCTCCAATTTTTACAATTTTTACAATTTTGATCGTCCAAAGCATAATCAATAATATTATTAACTATTCCACTAGGTAAATTCAATTTGTATAATTCCATATTTTCTTTTTTGAAATGGCAACAGTCATAGCATTTCTTATTTATATAATTATTTACTTCTTGTTCGTTCATTACTCTCTACTATATATAGGTATTATTTCTTTAAACCCTTTTTAGTCTAAAACTAAGATTTGGATATTAAAAAAAATCATAATGTGCTGATACATTACAATAGACGCAGTAGGCAATACAGTTATCCACTTCATGCGGACGAAAATTACATAACCTTTGTGCTGTAAAATTACTACATAATTTACCTTGCTTTGTTTCAAAATTAAACGGACTATTACACTTTTGGCATCTGGCACGAAACTGTTGTAAGCACCACTCAGCACTAATGTATTCTTCCTCATTAATTTCTCTTTGAGCGCGACGGTCCTGTATCTTGTAACTTTCTACTTTATTCTGAAAATATATCATTATCATATTTTTATCCATTTGTTTATCAAAGTCATCATTCTTGAAAAATCTGACTTTTCTGAAATCAACGCACCTTGTAATTGCCGTCCATAAAAACTCTCTGGATACAAATGATAAATTCCATTCATGAATTGTCATGCTCTCTCTTACACTTGCTCCCTGTGATGAGTGAGTAGTGGCACAGTATGAATATATAAAGTTAGCATCAACCACAGGTTCAAATAACATAAATTCATCTTCTTCATTTGCTATGTTTTGTAATGTTATTTGTTTTCCTAATTCATCATCTTCTATATTTGTAATCCTGTATCTTAAATTGACATTTACCCTTGGTTGTTTAATCCATTTTCTGGCAATTAACATATCACCCACTACATATTTCTCACTGATGTCGAATCTGTCCCGGATTTCATTGGAGACAGACCGACACCTTAAATTAGTATAAGCAATGTTATGCTCTGATGCCATTATATCATCAGTGATTTCAAAATATTTGGGTATGCTGTCATTTATTGGCAATGTATTTTCCCAAAAGTCAGCATACATATCATTAATTATTGCTCTGTTTCTTTCTCCTTCTTCACTATCTTTTGCACCTACTCTTTTACAAATTGTTAAGAAGAT